TTGTAACAACGAACTTGTATTAAATTTTGCGTAAAAAACGGATTTAATAGTGCGCTAACGTTGGAAATCTTGGAATGGCAATGATTCTCTAAAGAAAACGGACGTTTACCAATGGCGCGAGCGGTTCAAAAGTGGTCGTGAGTCAATCGAGCCTAATCCAAAAAACCACGACGTTTTCATTAAAAAAAGAAGGCAATGCTCACGGTTCTCATGGATTACAACGGTGTAGTGCATCATTAATTTTTGGCAGAAGGCCAGTCAGTAAATAAAGAGTATTATTTGGCCGTAATGTGACGTTTGCGTAAAGCAATTCGCTCAAAGAGACCAGAATTGTGGGCAGAAGATTCGTGGATTTTATACCATGATAACGCACCGTCGCACATTGCTATGATTAATTTTTTGACGCACCGTCGCACATTGCTATGATTAATTTTTTGACGAAAAATGCAACAAATGCCATCCAACAGCCACCTGATTTGGCTCCCTGAAATTCTTTCTGTTCAATCGAGTTAAAAAACCATTACGGGGAATGCGTTTCAGCAGCCGAGAGGAAGTAATGGAAAAATCGCAGGAAGCACTGACGGACACACCGAAAACCGATAATTGAAAATGCTTCGAGAATTGGATCATGCGCTGGCATAAGTGTGTTGCAGTCGATGTAGATTATTTTGAAGGGGACTATATAGATTTAGATGAATAAACATGTATTTTTAATTTTCTGAATAAATTTCGGGAACTTTTTGATCAAGGTGGTATATATTTAATTTTAAGGATGAAGTATCACTAGAATTGGCAAATTTAAATTTCCACCGTTATACTTTATTGTTGCTGTCGCTCTGTAGGGACTACGACGATAGCTGACGACTCGTACCAACTGAAGTTGTGTCTACAGCAGACCTTACAATTACCGGAGTAACAAAAGAGATGTTCGCAGTAGTTGGCTGCTGAATTTCAATCGGAGGCTAAAGGGTATTTGTGAAAAACAAGTCAGGCCCTGTACAACAGTTTTAGGCTATTAAATTGACTGTAAGCAGGACTGTTGTAAGCTGAGGTGAAGCTCACGAAAGCCAAAGATCAGACCCCTAAAGCCAGTCCTGAACAAAAAGCAACATGAAGCGGTTTACCCACAGAGCTATTACAAGCGCACAAATAAAAATACAAAGAAGCACAACAGACAAATTTACAAGTTGAAAAAATTAATGTGTTTTAGTACATACAAGCGTACTCTAGCGATAAGACGAAAATAACCGCGAAAGCAAACAGTTTAAGTGACAATATTGAATTAGATATTTAAAACGCCGGTCTTTTAATAAAAAACAAAAAAAAAAAATATCCGTTCGCTTCAAAGGTTTGCTTCTGAATGAGTAATGTTGAAATAGATATCTCAATGGTCCTAAGGATATATTTTTAGTGAGTTACTACTCGTACGTATGTGCTTTCGCGGTTTCATATTAGGTAAAATGGCACACTCGCCAATTCTAATATTTCGGCCACGACTGCACAAAGACCTGGGACGCGATTGTCCTTTAGCGATCTTATTTTAAGCGACTTTTCCTAACGGCTGCGGGAATCGTAAATGCAGGTTGTAACTTAAATAAAAAAAATTTTTTTTTTTTGACAACGGTTATTTATCAACACATTATCTTAGAAGGAAAAGGTTACCGGAGAACCACCAGTTTTTCGCTCTCAACTGGAACTGTCTTATTGACTTGGGCTTAGCGTGCCAACGTAACTTCTCGGCGATGTTCAGATTACGACAGGCCCTTCAAAATTGGCTGCGTTTTATTGCTTAGTCTGCATAATTGGCTGCATGAGCAAAATGTAATATATATATATTGACCTTATGCTTAGTTTATTATTAGTTGCATGAGAAAATTTTTGTTTATCTTGGCGTAGTTGTTGGTTGCATGTTTATTGATCTTCGATTTTATTTCAGATATTCTGTGAGAAACTATCTAAGGAGTGAAGCACAACTGTTCTCGTATTTTCTAGTTGGCATAATTTGGGTAGTTGATATGTTATTACATATCGTAAATTATTTTGTTGGTTTAGTAAGTTTTCTGTTCATTTTATTAGGAGTTGTTTGGCTTAAAAGGAGAAAGGCTCGTACCTTTTGTTGAAGATCTGTTATGTTTGAGGAGCAAGCGTCAACTGGGCTTTAGACGCTTCGGCACTGCCACCTGCGCGTCCAGAACACAGGGTTTAGTGAGAACGCTGGTGCATTTCGGAGAATTTCCGGTGAGGCAGGACATCTAACCGAGTTGGAGAAAGAGTCAGCGCAATAGGGTTCCCAAAGACACCAAACGATACTGCATAATTGTTCGGGCCTATTAAACTTAGCAGAATTCCTTTCAGTCGGGCATCAGCGAGTCCATCCGGAAAGAAATCCGAACTCGCTTCTTGGAAGTAATGAAGGGCACCGTCGATGTAGTCAGGTCGCAAGGGAGCCACTCTGCACTGCGCCGGTGCATTCGAAACCTATTGTGCCAGATCAGGTAACGGGTGCCGCCCAAAAAAAAACACGAAGGGCTACTGCAGAAAGCAGGTCTACCGCCGGCAATACGCGCGTTGTGCGGAGAATTCATACAGCAGCTCTGTATTTGCTGCAGAGTAATATATGGGCAAACTGGCATAAGTAGTGGAACGTCTAGGGGGGACGATTAGAGAACCGATGTCTTTGTACTCGAACTCGCGGGATAGGCTTACATGAAGCTGGTGCGTCGTTTGAAGTCGAGGATGCCATGAATTCGGCCGAAGACTTAGTGTATAGGCTGTTGTTCCTGTAGAAGCAGAAACAACGGATTCCACCTACTCTTAGCGATATGCGCTTTTAGTTCAGATGCTCTCATGGAGCTGTAACGGGAGTAACAACTAGCCGATGGGGTGGATGACTATATCCTCCAATAATAATAAAGTAGGGCTGTGATGTGCTCACCGTGAATGGACGGTGACAAAAGTGGTTAGTGGAGAGGCATATTATTCGCAGGGGGCGATACAAATATGCGAAAAAGTCGGGCTATACGTGGATGTTGAGAAAAGCGACAGGTACCAGTCGCCCCTTTTCAGATCACGTAGGTCTGCCGGTATTGGAAAAGAAGAGGTAATATTTTACATGTGCGCAGGTCTGCAGGTCGCTGTTGAGGTGTGTCCTGCCTCGAGAGAAGGTGTGAGCCTGTAAATGACAGAATTTAACCTTTAATCCGGCAAAACAGGATGATGCAATTAGGTATCATGGAAGCGAGCGACAACCCCAGGAGCAACCAGTAAACAGTAAACCGTGAAGGACGTTTACCTGTTGGCATGCGTCGAACGTATATTGTCGCCATTTTAACAGTTTTGTCACAAGCGTTTGGGGTCTGCAACACTGCTCAGCAACTATGTTAATAACGTGAACCAGGCTGCTTTCAGATTCTTCGTATACTTATGATTCGCCTTTTTTAAGATACTTGGCATATTTGATGATCAATTGAGCCTAATTTCATACGCACGTAAACTATTAGAGATTATTTGAAGACGTCAAATCTTATCCTAGACATTGCGAACTCCAAATTTTGTTCCCGCAACCTAAACTATCCACGTCAAATGAAGCCTTTCATGAACATCCCTAAGCCGACGACAATCAAGGAGCCGTGACAATCAAGGAGCCGTGAAGTTTCCTGGGCAGATCGGAATGTTATTGCCGCTTCATAAAAAAATACGCCGAAATCACTGTTCCATTGACCATTGCCTTAAAAAAAAGAACTGGAAAGTTTGTGTTGAACAACGAAGCCGTAAATGCAGTGGAGAAATTAAAGAGGGAAATTAGTACAGTTCCGGTGTTGACTCATGTTGTTTTCAGAAGGCATTCTACTTTGAAGTAGGAGCCGTACTGTTCTAGCTAGATAACGAGCAAAGTAGGAGCCGTACTGTTCTAGCTGGATGTCAAACAACAAGAAAGGCCAATCGCATTCTTTTCTGCGAAACTAAACGAGCACCAAATAAATTACCCGGCCAAAAAGAAGGAGTCTAGCTGCAAACTTGACATCCAGAGATCCCTACTTTACGTCAAAATAATGCCGTTCTCGTTTATCATAAACCACGCTAGGAGAAAGGGCAAAATAGGCTTCGAGAACGTTGTCGCTGATACGTTATCCAGGCGAGTGGAAGAGGTAGAGGTGACGCCGCTGGATTTACTGAAATTCGGTCAAGCGTTTGAGACCGCTGGTTATCGAGAACTGGTATACAAAGTCATGAGTCAACATTATAAGTTGCCAGACTTGAAGGTGCAAAGGACGAGGTGGAAGGCACGAGTTGGAAACTGCGACACCTACAACAAGATGAAAGCCAAGAATTACAGAATCCATGTTGGGTTAGGCCAAGAGGTACTAAATGATCGTCCCTCACAGAATACTTATATTGGTTTCACGGAGAAGTATCACTTTGATCACTTTGCAGGCAGCAAGTTCACTTTCACAAAAGTCGATGAGAGAAGCTATAGCAGCAGAAGTCGTTAATTTCCTGGTGCACGAGGTATTTTTTAAGCTCAAGAGTGTAGGTAAGAAGAAAGAGCGCTTGTGATTGCACGCCCTATTTGCTCCAAAATCGTAGAAGGGGAAAAAGAAAACAGTCTAATAATATTTGTAATTTTCAATTATTGAAGAAATGTTTTTTTTTTTTAATTCTAACCATAGTTATTTTTATAGGTTCCAGCTGTGTATGTTTTTAATTTCTTTAGTTTGTATTTCCTGTAGTGTTGTGTATGCCGGTCGCAACAACTATTTCGCGTCGTAGAGTCAATTGCACGAAACACATGCGATAAAAGCAATTCCGTAACATTTTTGTTTTTTTCTGACTAACTTGCCACTCAATATTGATGGGCTACAAGGGGCCAGTTAAATTTGTGCACTTCTTTGAAGAAATTTTAATAATCAAAATATTTAATTTTCGGACTTAAATGAGGTAGGGAATTCCGTAGAGGTCCATGCACTAAAAGGGAATCCGCTTGACCAAAGTAAATAATTGGTTTAACTTGAGCAGCAATTGTTTTTATTCAAGAACAATAAGTGAAAAAACAACAAACAAATGTAAGATTATTGGAAGAGTTAATAATAATACTTATTATTTTTCATTGATTTATTAACATTGCATTGATTTATTAACTTACAATGCTGAGATACATATTTTTGATATTTGGCACATTGAGCACCAGGTTACCTTGAACTCTGAAAAAGGGTATAATTATATTTGTGCAAATGTATATAGCAGGCAGAAAAAAGCATCTTCCAGCCCATAAACTATAAATATTCTTGATCAGCATCAATACCCGAGTCGATGTAGCCATGTCCGTCCGTATGTATGAACGCAAGGATCTCAATACCTCCAATTGAAATATTGAACGTAGGTTGTTCGTTTTTGATAATAGACAACTTGTCCCGTTTCCAAGCAATCGATAAAAATCGATATCGAAATCCTGTTTTTTGGGCAATTTCGGCAAATAATATGAGCTAGGCTCACCAAATTTCTCACGTAGCTTCTTGAATAGTATATAGATATCAAGTATCTTTCATTTTGTAGCTATCGTCATCCCGGCCACCAGCGCGTAGCTATGAATTAAATAAATAAATCAATTTGAACTACCCACCAATTTAAGCCTTAATTTTTAAGCAATTGTCTTTTTGAGAATTGAAAAATTTATTGGTAAAATTGTCATCAAGATCGGTTAAGAAATACAGAACTTATTAAAGATAATATGTGCTTATATTGCCATGTGTTTTGCGGCAGCTATCGCAAATTGAAAACATTTCTGTATTTATGTGCACACAAATTCACGCGCGTCTGCATTGAATTCTACCAACAGCCTTGCAATCGTTAGTATTGTTTTCTGTGCTGTGTGTATATGTTGCTAATTTTAATTTATTTATTTTTTTCATAACCAATTAATTGTTGGTTTGGCTGTTGAGTAGAGGCGGTGGCAAGTAGTGTAGTGTGTTAAGAGATCGAGTCCTAAGCTAACATTTTTTTTTTTAATATATTTTTATTACTGTTAAAGCAAGCGAACTCGTAGCGCGTGATGTTGGTAAAAGAGAGTTTAGGGTACCCCCTAGTCGGGATCTCCCGACTAGAGCCTCTTACTTTTTTTAATTGATGCTTTAAATTTATAAGTGTTTGAAATAAATTTAAACATCCGGGATAATTTATTATGAAATTTAATATTCTTAGCTGGCGTTTATTTGGTAAGTTGATTGGTAAATGGGGGGGGGGGGCTGTTATTTGTGTTGTATTATTTTTAGGATAAATGAAAATGGATTCTGTTGCGGAGGAGTGGTGGAGCGGAGAAATGTGCGAGACAATTTTACCGGGCTTACCAACACGCAGAAGGCCAAATTCGGATCAGGAAATGCTAGTGTAATAATAATGGCATACAAGTTAACACCGAAAGAACCGGCAAAGAGCACGCTGCCGGAGCGTGCGTGGAGTCAGTGATTTTACTTATTTTTTGCTAAAAAATAGAAAAAGTTAAAATTAGAGAGAAGGAGTGAATTCAATATTTAGTTATAAAAGTATTATGCTATAATACCTGAACCCGAACATATTTTTACATAAGTACTAGGGAAAAATTAAAAAACTCCGCAGACACTGCACGATCTGTACAGTTGGGCTGCAGCAAATAATATATTATCAGGTTTTACTTAATTTTTGCTAAATCATAGAAAAAGTTAAAATTAGAGAGAGCAGTGAATTCAATATTTAGTTATAAAAACAGGTTGCTATAATATCTGAACCCGAACATTTTTTTACATATAAGAGAAAAATTAAAAAACTCCGGCAGACACTGTCATACAAATATTTTGCATTTTAGCTATATCTAAGTCTAGCGAAATGGGTTTTTAACCGTACAACATATAGATGGGACAGCTAGAAGAAAATTTGGAAGCCATCCACTTATTAGTTCTGGTCCAAAGTCGAGTTCGTGTCCGAGATTCGCTCACTTGCTCGCTTTTCTTTATTTCGCTCCCACTACAGGAAACTGCTTTGGCTTACTTTCAGTGCTCTCAATGCTCTCTCATTAATGTCTAGGGATGCTTTGAATGTATCTATGTGTATTTGTCCACACAAGCAACAATGCGCACAAATAGAATTTTTCTTAAATTTCGGATGCATTTCTTCTCTGTTGAAGGGACTAGTAATATAAAATAATGTTGCTTCAGGAATAACCGTAATTCTGCCACAAAATTATACAGGTTATTAATCTTTGGTTTTTGAGGTTAGCGGTTCCTTATTAGGAGATCTGTTCTGTACATCATTTTAAAGAACGTTTATATTTAATTTTTCCAACGCACTTACTCCCTGCTATGCATTTGACGGACTTGATATTCCTTTTTGCGTGGATCCAACAATGTTGCCAGCTGTGAAACTGATCTGCTCATGTAGAGTTTGTTTTGCACTCTACTTTACAAAAACAGAGCATATGTCGGTCACAATAGTTTTCAAATTTGTTTCAGCTGTTTGAATCTAATAATCAAACCCAATATTTTAATAATAATTTCTGATACCGTCACTGTTTAGCTGCAAATGTGTATGCGGTTGCTACTTCGAATGGTGATAATATGGTGCACAGATATTCAAATATACTGAATTGCTACTCTTGTTAGTAGATCTCGTTAGAGCATATGGTAAACGCTGTTTTTTTTTTTTTCATGTTTTGTATTATTTTAATTATTATTTCATGGAACGCTTTTGGAAAAATTAAATTTAAAGTATGTGAAAAACAAGCACGATTTTTTTTGATAATAGATTCCATACGCATGCCGGTTTAAGCTTGTATTGCGACACAACGTCCAGCAGTCCAAGTTATTGCAAAATATTGCAATGCTTTCTAATTTCAAGCCCATTTCATCAGACATATTCTTTATGTTGCAGAGTTGTACGGCTGGGCAAGGCTTTGGATCCGCACGGTGTCGCTACCCTGTAGTAAGTTGAACATACGCATTCACTCCTCGTGTGGACAGACCTGTCGGAAAAGCGGCGTATATCCAGCGGCGTATATCGCCTTCGGCGCTCGGTGGATATCGCGGCCGTTACCTGCCTGAGATCGTATAAACACACGCACACACAAAAGCCCTGATTGTTCTCACAGGCGACTGGACGAGGCCTCGTACCACTACATACCACACTTTAGGTTAGGAACGCCACGGTGCCCGAGATTATTGTTAATAGTTAATAAAAAGAATTACCGGGCTTCATTATTAACATTTCCTTTAATCACTTTTCACTCTCTATAGCTATTATGCTCTACTACCCTACTCTTCTTCCCTATGTCTAGACCCTGCCGCACTGTCTGGAGCCCTAGCGCTCCGTTGCCCTCTTAGGGTTACGTCTGTCCATTTGCCTTCCTTGACACGCATCTACTCACCCTGATATTCACTCCAAAAGTGCCGGCGCGTTCGCTGTCGAGCCATGCGCTTGCCTCGGCCGCTCAACTTCGCTGCAAGCTTTCGCAACTTCGTCTCGGAGCTTTCGCTCTTCGCCGCGGAGGTGAAGTTGCGCTCTAGAGGGCGGTTTTAAGTAAACGATCAGCGAGGCACGGTTGCAGCGGCGGTTGGCGGTTAAAATCAAACTTAAGCCATGAGGGCTTCTTGCGCTTAACCAACTTAAATAATTCGGTACCTTGCCTTAGCTATTCTTATTGCTAAAACAAATAACAATGCTTTTAAACATGATATGTATGAATATGATATGTAGAGTGGCTGCCTTAGTAGTGAGTAGTAGTGAGGCGGCTACCCTCCTAACTTCGTCGAAGATACGGTCATATTCCGTCGTCGTTCATGGCAACGACTTCTGGGTCCCTTTCTTAACTGAGAATATTCGTTAACAATTCCGTTACTTATACTATTCCCTGCCCTACCAGTGCAGCTGACAATTTACAAAGTCGGGTTTCTCTTAATTCTTCTTCAACATCCATCGGGTACGGTCCTTTTCCGTCGCCGGTCATTTGTTGGTAGAAAGGCTTGAGCTGCGAAATATTCGCCTGGCTTCACGAGACGCACAATGTTAGGCGAAACAAACTTGAAAACCCGATAGGGGCCATCGAAGTTGGGTGCCAATTTAGCGGCGAATCCCTCAGCGGCGTTGGACTGTTGGTGCTGCCGTAACAGGACCATCGAGTCCAACGAAGGTCGCCACTCTCGTTTGCGCAAGTTGTAGTGCCTGCCTTGGTCCGTTGAAGCGCGCTGTGGACGATATAAAAAATTTTCCTCAACCTATCCGCCTTTTTCCTGGGGTCGACCGCACTGTCCTGCCGTGGGAGCATCATGGCATTCCTGCAATACCCTCTGCCATTGTCCACTGGCTGAACATAGTTTTCAGAGAATGTAGTCCTCCATTTGCAGGGGGGCTTAGCCACCACTGCTTGCTGACAGGTCTCTAGAGGATGCCTTGATAGTGCATCAGCCACGACGTTGAGTGGACATCGAACTGGAATTGTTCCAGTTCCAGTGCCCACCGCGCAATCCTTCCCGAAGGGCTCTCAATCGGGTTGAGCCACTTGAGTGCCAGATGTTCCGTTATCACGTCGGAACGGTACCCCTCTATATAATAACGAAACTTCCTGATCGACCACACGATCGCCAGGCACTCCTTCTCGCTGGCGGAATAGTTCACATCAGGTTTCCACAACTTCCAACTCGCGTATGTTATCACCCGCTCCTCTCCCTCTATCGCCTGCGTCAGCATTGCGCCATACTCACTCGCGTCAGTCTGCAAGACGAATTTGGCGGAAAAGTCCGGACTAGCCAAAACAGGGGTAGTCGTCAAGCTATCCTTCAATAGACGCAATGCCTCCTCCTGTTCGTCACCGCATGACCATTTCGGCCCCTTCTTTAGAAGCGCCGTTTGCGGCTCGACCTGAGTCGCGAAGTTGGGAACAAAAGGCCTGTACCATGAAGTCATCCCGAGATAATGCCGCAACTCCTTACAATTAGTCGGGGCCCTAAGATTACGTATCGCCTCCACCTTCTCCAGATCGGTATGTATCCCTTCCCCGCAAATGACGTCCCAGATAGAGCAACCTTTCCCTGAAGAAGCT